GCCAGGGGACCCTATGGGCCCCCTCCTCTTTGTGGCTGCCATCCACCCTGCGCTCCAGGCCACCGCGACAGCCCACCCAGGGGTCCTCTGCCTCGCCTACGCAGACGACGTGACTTTCGTGGGCGATCCGGATGCCTGCACCTCGGCGTTCCTAGAATTCACCGCCGCCATGGAACGCATCGGCCTCTCCCACAACCCCGCGAAATGCGCAGCATGGTCCACCGAGCGCCTTGCGACTGACTGCCTTCGGCCGGACATACCCTTCAACAACGAAGGGGTCCGTGTGCTAGGAAGTTTTATAGGCACTCCAGAAGGCACAGCCGATTTCCTCCGCACTCAGCTTGCCGCGCTTGCCGAACCCCTCTCCACACTGTCCACGATGGACCCACAGTCCTCCTCCCTCCTCCTCACACGTTGTGTGTCCAGGTGTTTTTCGTATTTAACCCGCACCACCCCCCTTGATTTCCTGCCCCTGGAGGCCTGGTCCAAGTGGGGCAGGGAGCTCTTTCACGCCCTACTCAGCGCTTGCAAACTCCAGCCACCACGAGGCGAGCTGGAGCGAGCGCGTACCTGGGCCCAGGCGTCACTCCCTCCCTCTCTCGAAGGGCTGGGCCTGACCGACCCAGCAATTGAAGGGCATCCGGCCTTTCTCACCAGCGTCACCCAAGCTCAGGGCCTCCTAACTGCCCCCCCAGCAGCGTCCAGAGGGCCCCTAGCCGAGTCTGTACGTCACCTCACACCACCCTTCACCAGCCCCACCCACCTGCACACCTGGCTGGCGAGATGCGAATCGGCGATGCCCCCAAGGGCCTTGGAGCTTCTACAGTCTGAGCGCAGAGAACCCTTGGGCTCCCCACTCCAACACCGCCTGTCTCTCGAGGTCCAAGCTGTGAGATACGCTGACCAAGTGGCGGCTTGGTGGGCAATGGACCCAAACCCCCACTCCAGCCACGCGCAACGCCTCTTCTCCGTGGCCGGATATGGGGCAGGAGATTGGCTCCATGCCATTCCAATCTTCCCCTCCCTCCGCCTTGAAGCCCCACACTTCACCTTTGCCCTGGCCTTCCGCCTCGGCCTCCCGCTCCCAGCTCCTCGCACCTGCAACTGCGCCAAGGAATACGAAATCCTTGACACACGGCTGCCCAACCACTTCCTTCGGTGCGGCACCAGGCACGGGCGGACAGACACCCATGACGCCATGCGAGATGAGAGCATCCGGATGGCCCGGGATGCGAACTTCATCGTCACTAAGGAGACAACCATCTACAGCCCTGTAGACGGCCACAAAGCAGACCTCGCACTTCGCGACCGCAGCTCTGGCGCCGTCTGGGTCTGTGACGGTATAAGCAGCCGGGACCCGGATGCACGGAAGGGACGAGGATACATGGCCTGGGAGCAAGCTGACAAGAAGATATACCACTACCGCAACCGGGCTCCCTACGTCGGTTTCTTCCCACTGGCGGTCGAGACATACGGCTGCCCCTGCGCCAAAGTCCCTACCTTCCTGAAACTGTTGGCAGACACAGGGGCCAGGAGGCTCTTCAATGCGGACCCCAGCTCCTACCAAGCAGCAAAATTGTTCCACCAGTTCCGCTAGTGCTGGTCTGTGACGCTCCAGTGGGCGCAGGCCTTGGCTTACCTGGGCAAAGTTAGCGAAGCCTTCCCTGCCCCCCACACCCCGTGGGCACCCCCGACGCCAACATGGCTCTAGGGACTGCTTTGCTGTAGCAGAGCCCCTAGGGAGCTTGAGTAGTTTCGGGCACCTCCAACATGCACGTACCTTTGCCTTGTTGCCTTCCGCCTGCCTAGCCTGTACCTAGGATTCCAAGAAATAAACGGACCGCTTGAGAGAGAGAGGGGGGGGGTGGGGGGAGGGGGGGGGGCAAAGAGAAAGAGGTAATGAGAGAGCGAGAGAGTGTCCCCGCCAATCCCCAAATCAACCCCGTCGCCCCCCCCCGTCAATCCCGCCGTCAATGCCGCCCTCGCCAATCCCCCGTCAATTCCGTCGCCAATCCTGTCACCATTCCCCCGTCAATCCCGCCGCCATTCCCTCCGTCAATCCCGATATTGAAACCCCTTACTAGAAGAGACGGAAAAACGATTTTGAAAAGAGAAAAATAAACCCTTAGAACCACTTGCCTTGGGTAGGAATCTAGATGGCGAGGTGGCGTGGCTGAAACCGCAACGTGAGAAGCGAGCATAAGGGAGCGAAAAATGAGGGCAGAACCCTAGGAGCATTTGATTCGTCGCAAAAACAAAAACTTGTTACATACAGATGTAAAGCGAGAATGGAGAATAGTGAAGGCGGGCCCAACTTGAAAGGGGGGTTGTGTGGGAACTTTTCAAGGGACCAAGCCTTGTAGCGAGGGGGTTCAGGGTCACTGTTCCTTATTACCCCCGGGTAGGAGGGAAAACATCCGCGCAGGACAGCGTTTGGTGCGCGGGAATAAAAACTGCAGCATCCAACCAGAAACACGGGAAAAGAATCCACGTAGATAAGCGCGGCGGCGAAAGCATCGCTCGAGGCGAGGAGCGTTCACCTGTGATGGTAGGGCAGCCCGCACGTCTGTGCCTGTTTCAAGTGGGTCCAACTCGATTTTCAAGTTGGACCTAGGTTCACAACTCGACGGTCAAAGGGCTGAGGGCACGCAACTCCACGCAGAGCACCCTAGCGTAGAATGCGCATCATCCTCTTGTCGTAACTCGTGGCTGCAGCTTGCGCTGGTTGTGTCGCGGCCCGACTCCCCAGCCAGCCCTAGAGTAAGTAGGCAAACTGGAAATATAGAATAGGTACAGATATGGCGCCACATTTTCCCGAGCGGCAACCAGGCACGAAAGCCGTACCCCTCGAAAAGGGCTATTTGCGCCAAATGCGTAAGGCAGGCGAAAGTGAGAGTAGGTGCGCTGCATATGGCTCGTCTCAGTGCCGAGCGCGGCGGCAAGCGGCTCCGCGCCGAGCGCGGCGGGGAGCAGCTTTGCGCCGAGCGCGGCGGCGAGCAGCGTTGCGGCGAGCGCAGCGGAAAGCGGCATTTCTCTGAGCGTGGCTACGAGCGGCTGAGAGACATGTGCGGCGGTGATCGGCTTGGCGATGGGAGAGAAGGGGGGCCTAAGAGATAAGGGGAGAGGCAGAGAAGGGGAGCAAAAGAGAAGGGGGCGAGGAGAGAAGGGGAGGGGGAGAGAAGGGCAGCGGGAGAGAAGGGGAGCGGGAGAGAAGGGGAGCGGGAGAGAAGGGGAGCGGGAGAGAAGGTGTAACAACCCTTGCCCTTATATCATGGGCAACAAGGGTTGAAGTCCAAACCCAACATCCAAGATCCTAGGATATAAATGGAGTACAAAATCAACTAACGATCCCCTAGAGTGGTATTTATGAGGGACCTCCTCTAAGAGATAGCTTAAGCTTGAGGAAGGCCCGTGAAGAATAGTGCTTGAGGCTCTGGTTGGGTAGGGCTTCCCCTAGGAGATCACACTAGGAGCCACTAGTGTAGGGAAGCTTGTGAGGAGAGCTCATGACTTAGAGAAAAATCCCATTTCAAGATTGATTTCTTGGAGTGGGAAGTTGAGAATGAGCTTCTCAGCCCAGACCCCTTCCAATGACTCCCAGCAGCTGCTCAACCTCCTCCATGGCTCCAAGGAGGTGAGCTAGCCTATGTGGCAAAAGGGTTGGATTTCCAACCAATGAGAGGTTTACAACAATGTATTCAGATTAGCATATAGTGTACAGCATAAGAATATTCGAGTTGAGTTGGCATTGCCAACCAACTCCCTGGTTCTGATTGGTCGCAAATCCAACCATCACATGTGTTGGGAATTTCGCCAACTCAATTAGTACAACTAAAATTTGATTGGTCCCAAGTATCGACCAATCCCAATCCTCCCCTCCCAACCCTTCCTTCCCATTTCGCGCTACCTAGGTAGCCAATTTGTAAAAGGTGGTTGGGACGGTCGTTTCTAGGCCCGTGTACTATGCAGAGGCGAGGCGTTACACTCCTCCCCCTCTAGGTGGCAACGCCCTCGTTGCCGTAGAGTGCTTCTGGGGACGGGTGCTTCGAGCGCGCCGAATCACATTACGACCACAGTCAACACCATCCACTGGTTGTGAGGCTGCTCTTTGAGCCAGGTCTTCCAGATATCCGTGAACCGCAGTTTCGGTCAAATGTTCCTCTGGCTCCCATGAGTTGTGTTCAGGCCCATAGCCTTTCCACTTAATAACGAACTCGCGTACTGTCTTGCGGCCGCGCTGTCGATCACAGTGCATGAGCGCACGCTCGACCTCATAAAAGAGTTCCTCTCCGAGGACGATCGTTGGTGGAGGTAAGTACTTGCCTTCAGCAATGTACTTATTGAGCAGAGACACGTAGAAGACATTGTGAATCTGCAATGTATCGGGTAACTTCAACTTGTAAGCTACCACACCAACACGCTGGATCACCTCGAACGGCCCAATCCATCGAGGGAACAGCTTTCGTGCCCCAGGAATTTTGAGACGAATGTTCTTCGTGCTCAATAATACCTTGTCTCCAACCTCAAAAGAGACTTCCCGGCGTTTCATGTTGGCATAAGACTTTTGTCGCTGCTGAGACAGCTGCAGCCAGCAGCGAGCAGACTTGAGCGCTTCTTGCTGCTTGCCCACAAAGTCTTTCGCGGCAGGGACTCGCAGTGCGCCTATCCCATGCGTAGCAGGTGTCATGGGATGCCGGCCACTGTTCAGAATGAAGGGTTTTTCATGGGTACCTTCATGGACAGAATTGTTCACTGCGAACTCAACCACAGGTAACAAGTCATCCCAATCATCCTGAGTTGGGCCGATGAAGGAACGAAGCATCTGCTCAAGCGTACGATTCGTCCGCTCTGTCTGCCCATCCGTTTAGGGATGGAAGGCTGACGACATCTTTAGCTTCGTTCCGAGTGTCCGTGTAACTTCGTGCCAGAACCGGCTTGTAAAGCGCGGATCTCGATTGGACACTAGCACACGAGGTAACCCGTGTAAGCGGAACACGTGTGCTACAAACAACTTGGCCGTATCTTACGCAGATACGTCTGTTGTAGTAGCCACAAAGTGCACCATTTTGGTCAATCGATCCACAAAGACCAAGATCGCAGTATGACCGTCACGTGTTTTTGGGAGGTCTGTGATGAAATCCAGTGAGACACTCTCCCAAGGTTCGTCTGGAATCTCCAGTGGTTGAAGCAAACCACCAGGCTTTTTTGTGTCTGGCTTGTTGCGTGCGCATGCATCACAACGCGACACGAATTGTTGGACCTCAGTCCCCAATCCAGGCCACCAGTACACATCACTTAAGGCCCACCGGGTTTTCTTGATACCCATGTGTCCCCCGTACTTGGTGCTATGCACTTCCTCAATTATATCATTCCGCAGGTTACCCACGTGGGGTACCACGATCTCTTTCTCTCACCACCAGAGCTCATGCTCGTACTTGAGGCCCTTCGTATTTTGTGGGTTCTGGAACCAGGAGTCAATATGGTATCCAGTGCGGATGCGTTTCAGAAAAACCACTGAAGGTGACCTCACTCACTCGAGCCACGACAAGAATACCGAAGCAAGCAGCAACCACTGCCTTATCCTCGGTTTCATCAAGCCCAGTCGCTGCCCCTATCGGTTGTCTGCTGAGGGGGTCAGCCATGTTTGTAGAACCTGCACGATATCGAATATTGAATGTGAACCCACTAAGGAGTTCTGCCCAGCGGGCTTGGCACCGAGTGAGCGTGGCTTGAGTAGAGAAATAGGTGTTCGGACAGTGGTCTATCGTGACCACAAACTCCACACCTTCCAGATAACATCGCCATGTTCGCAGCGCATGCAAGACCGCCAGCAACTCTTGTTCTGACGTCGTATAGCGCTGCTCTGCCGAGGAGAGTTTCCTACTCTCAAATGCCACAGGACGGCCCTCCTGCAAGAGTACCGCCCCAATCCCTACTGTCGAGGCGTCTGTGACCACCTCATAGGGTTTAGAAGGATCTGGCAATACCAAAATCGGAGCATTGGTCAGCTTTGTTTTGACTTTGTCAAATGCCTCTTGGCATTGTCGAGTCCACTCCCATGCAGTACCCTTTCGGGTGAGTGCTGTTAGAGGGGCAACGACAGTCGAGTAATTTTCCAAGAACCGGCGGAAATAATTGGCCAGGCCTAGGAAGGACCTGATCTGACCCACGTCCTGTGGGACGGGCCAATTCTGAACAGCCACCACCTTCTTGGGGTCGACTTTAAGTCTGTTGTTCCCGACAAGATGACCGAGGTATTCCAGCTCGCGTTTGTAGAAATGGCATTTCCATAAACGAGCATAGAACTTGTGTTCTCGCAACTTCCCTAGCACCCATTTTAGGCGTTGAGTGTGCTCCTCTTCAGTCTTGGAATAAACCAAGATATTGTCGAGGTAAACCAGAACGAAGTGTCCGATAGCTTCGCGAAACACATCGTTCATGGCCCTCTGAAAAGAGGCCGGAGCATTGGTCAAGCCAAAGCTCAGCACGCGCCATTGAAAATGGCCAAACGGCGAACGGAACACCGTCTTTGGAACATCTTCCTCAGTGAAGCGCAGTTGGTGGTACCCTTGTGCCAGATCCAACGCGCTAAACCACTGAGCACCCTGGAGTCGATCGAACAGGTCTTCTATCCTTGGAAGAGGATATCTGTTCTTGATCGTGATGTTGTTTAAGGCGCGGTAGTCGACGCACATGCGTAAGCCACCACCCTTCTTGTTAACGAACAAGATTGGTGCTTCATATAGTGATGCGCTTGGCTCAATCCATCCCTTCCTGAGGTACTCCTCAATCTGTTGTTTAGCCTCCTTGTACTCAGCTGGACTGAGGCGATACAGAGGTCGAAACGGTGGGAGCTTTCCAGGCTCCACAGGGATGGTGTGGCCCACGGCGCGGTCAGGAGGGAGGCCATCTGGAATAGACTCAAAAACCTCCTTAAATTCATCCGCCAGTACCTTCATCTGAGGTGGAAAATCCTCAATGTCTGGCGTCGGGGTTCCAGCTTCCTCGAGCTGTATGACGAAAAGTGTGTTAGCAATGCGGTAATGCTGTCCGAATTGACATGCAAGAGCAAAGCACACGTCTGGACTTTTCGTAATTTGAACCACCGGGATGGTTGTGTCAACAAACACCCGCCACTGGATTGGTTCACCATTCTTGGTGAAAGAAACTGTGTTATCCTGGTTTCCAGAATAACCTTATTTGCACGTAACCAATCCATTCCCAAGACTACGTCGACACCCGCAAGCAAGGGGAGAACGTAAGTGCGAATCTTTTTGCTATAGCCTTGGATTTCCATGTCAATCATTGTCCGTCCTTTGCTTGGGATAAGACTATCGTCACCAAGACGAATGGGACATGACGGTCCTTCAACGAGGACCCCAAGCGGTGTGACAAGGATTTTCGCGCTATGTCCGTTAACGCGACCCGAAAGGAGTAGATTTTGTTGATGCATTGGGTGGATGGGGCATGCCACGATGTTCGACGAGGGTTTGTAGTACACCTTGACATTGTGGCGGGCTCGTCCAAAGGATTCAGATTTGGTCCACCACACATGGTGTCCCTTGTCCCAAGACGCCAGCACAACCCATCCACGAAGCGATTTGAACGCTTCGCCCTTTACTGTACGAGTCACCACGGCGACCGCAGTCAGGGGGTGCTCTTGAGTACAACGACTCACAATATCGAGTACAGAAGGCAATGTTTCCAGGCCACAGTAAACGACTGAGAATTTATCTCGTAACGCTTCGATGGATATAGCATCATGTGGGTACGATCGAGGTGCAAACATTGATTTTTTATTAAAAGAAGAGGCAAACAAACAAGACATTTTGCATTCAGCAAGCTTCTCTAGCTTTAGTAAATCATCGTCACATAAAGCATATGCCTCATCCCCTCGATCTATCTGACCGACTAGGTACCCACACCCTAGTTGGACTTCTGAAAATCCTTCTTACTACCAGAAGGTCCTTCGCCGCCATTGTTGTTGCCCTTAGGCTTACCACTATGCTTTATGATATTCCTATAGCGGCACTGAAATTCCATGTAACCACGGCGGCCACACCCTCGGCAGACGACATTAGAGAAGTCCCTTGGCGGCCCTTTGTAACCGCCATCATTCGCCCTCTTAGCCGGAGGACGCTGCCGATTACCATTCTGGTGGAAGAGCCTCTTGTAACCTTGGCCCTTCCCCTTGGAATTCCACTGGCCACCACCTCCATTGCCACCATCACCCTTCGCCTGAGTCCTCGACTCAGGCTGGTCGGTGGAAGGCGTTGCTAGCATACGAACAGTCTCGTCCGTTGCTTGAACCGCCTCTTTGAGCTCCTTGTAGGTGCTCCATTTGTTGAGGCCATTTGCGACATGCTTATCCTACAGGGACTGGGGCAAGTTCTGGAAGAAGATATACATAACTTCATTCTCAGACAGTTGCTTGCCCAGCAGTTGCAGAACGCTCTCAAACTCGTGTGCATATTTCTGCACAGAGTGATCGCCGCACTTGATGTTTTCAAGGCGACGACGCACCTCCAAGTCAGTTGTCTTGACAAGGAAAGCCGCTTTCATTGCAGCACAGATCTCGTCCCAAGTGAAAAACTTTCCAGTTGCTTCGAGCTGCTTCCGGCTAGCAAACATGGTTTGACTAGCATGCTCATCCAACGCGCCAGAGACAGCGGTGACACGAGCGTTGTTGCGCATGTTGTGGAGAGTCAGCATTTCATCCACAGTTGTCACCCAGTTCTCAACATCCGTCTTGCCATGGATGAATTTTGGGAGCGCAGTGGGGAGCGAGCCAAAAGGCGTTGCCATAGGCTGGACAGGCTCCTGAGGTGCTGCAGTTGAAGGAGCTGCAGCAGGCGGCGAGTTGGATTGGGTGCCCGATGGGCCAGCAGTAGCGGGTGAGTGTTGATAGATAGGACCCCTCCGAATATCCCTGTACTGGTTCTGCAGGTGAGCAATAGCAGGTTGCATCGGGGCGATGGTAGATTGCAGCTGGGCAGTTGTAGTCTGCAGTTGGGTAATAGCAGCTTGCAGCTGGTCGCACGTTTTCTCCAGAGCCAGGATTTGATTGCCCCGGTTATGTAACAGACGCTTGTGATCCCGTACCTCTCCGTATGCCATGTTGAGATCGGCTTGCAGCCTAGTCGTGTCGGCCTTTTGTGTCGCCAAAGCAATATTGAGGGAGTTGATGTGTTCCTTCTGCTGATTGATTGTAAGCTGCTGCTCGAAGACTTGTGCCTGGAGTTTAGCCACATCATCGGAGAGCGACCATGCCTCGATGCCATCATCCTCCCCCTCTGCTCTATCAATCCCTTCTGCTTCTACATGCTCTTCATTGCCCTCATACTCCAAATTTAGGTCCACCAATTCAATATCAGCCATAGCCTCATCTTGCTGTTGGTTATTACTAGCAGCAAGGTTGGCTCCCTCAGGAGTCACATTAGGCTCCTCCCTTTCCAAGTTCTCCAAAACTTGACTTGAAGTCATGGTAAAACAAGGAAGATATTTCAACAGATCTTAAATGTTCTTTAAAATCTCTTAAGAAATCTGTTCAAGTCCCAATCACCGCAGTGAGAGGGCAAGACAATCTCAATAAAGAGATCTCTTAACAGAATAACTTAATATGAGATATTACAAGAAATACAATCTGTTGCCCAATCCCTAGCACCTCAATGCTAGGGCAAGATCTAAACTAGATTTTGCAACAAATCACAGATCTGAAACACACTCCACAAGGGAGCCTTCCACCAACAAGGTGGGCAAGAGAGAATATATTCTCTCTTCAAAACTTGAATTGTGGAGGTAGGAGAAGAGGTTGTAGCTGAAAAGGGTCTTGAGAGGGGTTGGAGTTGATGAAGATCTTGGAGAAGCTCTTCAAAATGACTTAGAGAAGTTTGAAATGTCTTGAAAGATCTTCAAATATTCACTCCAATGTCTTGGATTGAGGTCCAATCACCCCTCTAAAAAAAAGATCAAGAAAAAAATCCCACAAGGCTTAAGATTAACCTTGCTCTGAATACCAATGTAATAACCCTTGCCCTTATATCATGGGCAACAAGGGTTGAAGTCCAAACCCAACATCCAAGATCCTAGGATATAAATGGAGTACAAAATCAACTAACGATCCCCTAGCGTGGTATTTATGAGGGACCTCCTCTAAGAGATAGCTTAAGCTTGAGGAAGGCCCGTGAAGAATAGTGCTTGAGGCTCTGATTGGGTAGGGCTTCCCCTAGGAGATCACACTAGGAGCCACTAGTGTAGGGAAGCTTGTGAGGAGAGCTCATGACGTAGAAAAAAATCCCATTTCAAGATTGATTTCTTGGAGTGGGAAGTTGAGAATGAGCTTCTCAGCCCAGACCCCTTCCAATGACTCCCAGCAGCTGCTCAACCTCCTCCATGGCTCCAAGGAGGTGAGCTAGCCTATGTGGCAAAAGGGTTGGATTTCCAACCAATGAGAGGTTTACAACAATGTATTCAGATTAGCATATAGTGTACAGCATAAAAATATTCGAGTTGAGTTGGCATTGCCAACAAACTCCCTGGTTCTGATTGGTCGCGAATCCAACCATCACATGTGTTGGGAATTTCGCCAACTCAATTAGTACAACTAAAATCTGATTGGTCCCAAGTATCGACCAATCCCAATCCTCCCCTCCCAACCCTTCCTTCCCATTTCGCGCTACCTAGGTAGCCAATTTGTGAAAGGTGGTTGGGACGGTCGTTTCTAGGCCCGTGTACTATGCAGAGGCCATGCGTTACAAAAGGGGCGCCTAAGAGATAAGGGGAGAGGCAGAGAAGGGGAGCAGGAGAGGATGGTAGCGAGAGAGAAGGGGAGAGAGAGAGAGAGAGAGAGAGAGAGAGAGAGAGAGAGAGAGAGAGAGAGAGAGAAGGGCAGCGGTAGAGAAGGGGAGCGGGAGAGAAGGGGAGCGGGAGAGAATGGGAGCAGGAGAGAATGGGAGCGAGAGAGAAGGAAAGAGAGAGAAGAAGGGCAGCGGGAGAGAAGGGTAGAGGGAGATAAGGGAGCCTAAGAGATGAGTGGAGACGCGAGAAGGGGAGCAAGAGAGAATGGGAGCGAGAGAGAAGGGAAGAGAGAGAGAGAAGGGCAACGGGAGAGGAACGGAGCGGGAGAGAAGGGGAGCTGGAGAGAAGGGGAGCAGGAGAGAATGGGAGCGAGAGAGAAGGGAAGAGAGAGAGAGAGAGGAGGGCAGCGGGAGAGAAGGGTAGAGGGAGATAAGGGAGCCTAAGAGATGAGGGGAGAAGGGGAGCAGGAGAGAATGGGAGCGAGAGAGAAGGGGAGAGAGAGAGAGAATGCCAGCAAGATAAAACGGGATAGAGAGAGAGAAGGGAAGAGAGAGAGAGAAGGGAAGCAGGAGAGAAGGGGAGCGGGAGAGAAGGGGAGCTGGAGATAAGGGGAGCCTAAGAGATAAGGGGAGAGGCAGAGAAGGGGAGCTGGAGAGAATGGGAGCGAGAGAGAAGGGAAGAGAGAGAGAGAAGGGAAGCGGGAGAGAAGGGTAGAGGGAGATAAGGGGAGAGGCAGAGAAGGGGAGCTGGAAAGAATGGGAGCGAGAGAGAAGGGAAGAGAGAGAGAGAAGGGCAGCGGGAGAGAAGGGAAGTGGGAGAGAAGGGAAGCGGGAGAGAAGGGGAGCCTAAGAGATGAGGGGAGAGGCTGAGAAGGGGAGCAGGAGAGAATGGGAGCGAGAGAGAAGGGAAGAGAGAGAAGAAGGGCAGAGGGAGAGAAGGGAAGCGGGAGAGAAGGGGAGCGGGAGAGAAGGGGAGCCTAAGAGATGAGGAGAGAGGCTGAGAAGGGGAGCAGGAGAGAATGGGAGCGAGAGAGAAGGGAAGAGAGAGAAGAAGGGCAGCGGGAGAGAAGGGAAGCGGGAGAGAAGGGGAGCGGGAGAGAAGGGGAGCCTAAGAGATGAGGAGAGAGGCTGAGAAGGGGAGCAGGAGAGAATGGGAGCGAGAGAGAAGGGAAGAGAGAGAAGAAGGGCAGCGGGAGAGAAGGGAAGCGGTAGAGAAGGGGAGTGGGAGAGAAATGGGAGCCTAAGAGATGACGGGAGAGGCAGAGAATGGGAGCTGGAGAGGATGGGATCGAAAGAGAAGGGGAGAGAGAGAGAAGGGCAGCGGGAGAGAAGGGGAGCGGGAGAGAAGGGGAGCGGGAGATAAGGGAGCCTAAGAGATGAGGGGAGAGGCAGAGAAGGGGAGCAGGAGAGAATGGGAGCGAGAGAGAAGGGAAGAGAGAGAAGAAGGGCAGCGGGAGAGAAGGGTAGAGGGAGATAAGGAGGCCTAAGAGATGAGGGGAGAGGCTGAGAAGGGGAGCAGGAGATAATGGGAGTGAAAGAGAAGGGAAGAGTGAGAGAGAAGGGCAGTGGGAGAGAAGGGGAGCTGGAGATAAGGGGAGCCTAAGAGATAATGGGAGAGGCAGAGAAGGGGAGCTGGAGAGAATGGGAGCGAGAGAGAAGGGAAGTGAGAGAGAGAAGGGCAGCGGGAGAGAAGGGCAGCGGGAGAGAAGGGGAGCGGGAGAGAAGGAGAGCGGGAAAGAAGGGGAGCTGGAGATAAGGGGAGCCTAAGAGATAAGGGGAGAGGATGGTAGCGAGAGAGAAGGGGAGAGAGAGAGAGAAGGGCAGCGGGAGAGAAGGGCAGCGGGGGAGAAGGGAGCGTAAGAGATGGTGAGAGAGGGGGAGAAGGGGAGCTGGAGAGAATGGGAGCGAGAGAGAAGGGAAGAGAGTGAGAGAACGGCAGCGGGAGAGAAGGGAAACGGGAGAGAAGGGGAGCGGGAGAGAAGGGGAGCCTAAGAGATGAGGAGAGAGGCTGAGAAGGGGAGCAGGAGAGAATGGGAGCGAGAGAGAAGGGAAGAGAGAGAAGAAGGGCAGCGGGAGAGAAGGGAAGCGGGAGAGAAGGGGAGCGGGAGAGAAGGGGAGCCTAAGAGATGAGGAGAGAGGCTGAGAAGGGGAGCAGGAGAGAATGGGAGCGAGAGAGAAGGGAAGAGAGAGAAGAAGGGCAGCGGGAGAGAAGGGAAGCGGGAGAGAAGGGGAGCGGGAGAGAAGGGGAGCCTAAGAGATGAGGAGAGAGGCTGAGAAGGGGAGCAGGAGAGAATGGGAGCGAGAGAGAAGGGAAGAGAGAGAAGAAGGGCAGCGGGAGAGAAGGGAAGCGGTAGAGAAGGGGAGTGGGAGAGAAATGGGAGCCTAAGAGATGACGGGAGAGGCAGAGAATGGGAGCTGGAGAGGATGGGATCGAAAGAGAAGGGGAGAGAGAGAGAAGGGCAGCGGGAGAGAAGGGGAGCGGGAGAGAAGGGGAGCGGGAGATAAGGGAGCCTAAGAGATGAGGGGAGAGGCAGAGAAGGGGAGCAGGAGAGAATGGGAGCGAGAGAGAAGGGAAGAGAGAGAAGAAGGGCAGCGGGAGAGAAGGGTAGAGGGAGATAAGGAGGCCTAAGAGATGAGGGGAGAGGCTGAGAAGGGGAGCAGGAGATAATGGGAGTGAAAGAGAAGGGAAGAGTGAGAGAGAAGGGCAGTGGGAGAGAAGGGGAGCTGGAGATAAGGGGAGCCTAAGAGATAATGGGAGAGGCAGAGAAGGGGAGCTGGAGAGAATGGGAGCGAGAGAGAAGGGAAGTGAGAGAGAGAAGGGCAGCGGGAGAGAAGGGCAGCGGGAGAGAAGGGGAGCGGGAGAGAAGGAGAGCGGGAAAGAAGGGGAGCTGGAGATAAGGGGAGCCTAAGAGATAAGGGGAGAGGATGGTAGCGAGAGAGAAGGGGAGAGAGAGAGAGAAGGGCAGCGGGAGAGAAGGGCAGCGGGGGAGAAGGGAGCGTAAGAGATGGTGAGAGAGGGGGAGAAGGGGAGCTGGAGAGAATGGGAGCGAGAGAGAAGGGAAGAGAGTGAGAGAACGGCAGCGGGAGAGAAGGGAAACGGGAGAGAAGGGAAGCGGGAGAGAAGGGGAGCAGGAGAGAAGGGGAGCTGAAGATAAGGGGAGCGGGAGAGATGAGGGGAGAGGCAGATAAGGGGAGCTGGAGAGAATGGGAGCGAAAGGGAAGGGGAGAGAGAAAGAAGGGCAACGGGATAGAAGGGGAGCGGGAGAGAAGGGAGCCTAGGAGATGAGGGGAGAGGCAGAGAAGGGGAGCAGGAGAGAATGGGAGCGAGAGAGAAGGGAAGAGAGAGAGAGAAGGGAAGCAGGAGAGGCGGGGAGCGGGAGAGAAGGGGAGCTGGAGATAAGGGGAGTCTAAGAGATAAGGGGAGAGGCAGAGAAGGGGAGCAGGAGAGAATGGCAGGAGGAGAGGATGTGAGCGAAAGAGAAGGGTTTTGGGAGATATAATGAAGGCGGGTCCAACTTGAAAGGGCCCAGAAGGTCGGTGTCGCGACTACCAGGGTCATTCCCAGAGTTGCCCTCCTCCCCAGCACCACCGTGCACGCTCTGTGTCAAGGGCCGCCTCCGCTGTGCCTCTCACTCCTCTTCTTTTCCCCCTACCACCGCACCGCTACAGACTCTGCACATGGACGTCTGGGGTCCCGCCCCCGTCCATGGGCCGCGTCGAGAGCGCTACTTCCTAGTGCCTGTCGATGACTACATGTGCTACACCATTGTGTTACCCTCTGGAGCGGAAGGCCGACGTGCCTGACGCTCTCATCCCGTGGCTTGTCTCTGCGCGTGTCCACCGCGGTCTCCCTGTCTTGCGTCTCCACTCCGACCGTGGTGGCGAGTTTGCCTCTGGTGTCCTTGGTCGTTTCTGTCGTGCGGAGGGCATCACCCAGACGTTCACCTTGCCAGACTCTCCGCAGAAGAATGGGGTCGCTGAGCAATGCATCGGTTTCGTCATGGAGGTGGCTCGCACCTCCATGGTCCCATTCGCCATTCGCCGTTCGCTACGCCGCTCACAAGCTTAACCTGTGGCCACACCCTCAGCACCCGCGGGTTTCGCTGACCCTTCTTTGGTCCAGGTCTCCTGGTGACGCGTCTGCGTTCCACGTCAGGGGCTGCCTTGCTCACGTTCGTGCCTCTGGCACGGACAAGCTCACTGCCCGCACCCTCCCTTGTGTCTTCCTCGGTTTTCCCCTTGACGCGCCCGACTGGCACTTCTACCACCCGCCGTCTTTCGTGTTCTTTCACTCTCGTGACGTCATCTTTGACGAGTCTGTCTCCTTCTACTGCCGCTTCCCTCTCAGAGGTCCCCCGGTTACTCCCCCCCTGTTCCTGGTCACCCCTTCCCCAGTCGCACCTGCCCCCCCCCCTCCCCCTCCCCGTCCTGCACCGTCTGATGTGTCCCACATCACCCCCCTCACGTCGGTTGTCCCGGTCGAGGAGTCTGGTGACTCTGGTGGTCCTGCGGCACAGTCCTCGCTGCCTGCCCCTCCCCAGGTGTCTCCTCCCTCGCCTCCGCAGCCGCTGTCGCCACCGCTGTCTCAGCCGCCGTCACAGCCGCCGCCGACGCCGCAGCCGTCGTTGCAGCTGCCGGCGCCGCAGCCGTCGCCGCAGCTGTCGCAGCAGCAGTTCGTTGACTCTGGGGGTGCTGGCGTTGGGGTGGGTACTAGTCCAGGGGTTCCTATCGTGGCTTGTCCCGGTGGGCCTGGGGGTGGTACCTGTGCTCGAGGGGTTTCGGGCTCTGGGGGTGTTCCTTCTGGGGGTGCTGGAGTGGAGTGTTTCGGAGGTAGCCGTAGAGCAGCTTGTGGTCCCGGTGTGGGTGCCATGCCGCCGCAGTAGCAGTCGCCACCGGTGTCCGCCCTTCGCCTGCTCGGCCTTCCGTCCCCTGACCCTGCGTCTCCGCCTCGCCTGTCGTCTCCTCCTCTCCTGGACTACGGCCATGTGTTCCCTCCCTCGGACTCGACTCCGGCTCGTCTTCCTCCCCGTTCTCCTCCTGTGTCCCCTCCTCCTGTCTCCTGACCCGACTCCTCCGTCTCACCTCTGGTCTCGCCGTCCCTCCCGTGCTCGCCCCGTCTCCCCTGTCCCGCGCTCTCACCCTATGTTGCTTCGTTCCCACGCGTCTCCTCCTACCCTCCTACCGTCACCTCCTCCGTCCTCTCTTGTTGTTGCGCCTCCCCCTCTGTCTGACTACCTTCGCGCCGCTAGTCCTCTTGTTCCTCGAGTCCTTGCCTCTCTCGTTACCGACCCGTCTGTTCCGGTCTCGTGTCTTGACGCTATTGTCGCTGCGGTCGCTGACTTCGCCTCTACCCGCCGCCTTGACTACACCACCACTCTGGTCTCTGACCCTGCCTATCCTCCATCTGTCGGGGGTGCTCCTGCCCTCGGCAGTGACGTCCTGGAGGACCACCAGTACGAGCTTGCTTTCCTGTCCGAGGCTGCTCCCCATCTCTGTTCCATGATGCTAGTCCCTGAGGGTGACCTTGACACTTTTGACATCCCGACCCCTCGCACTTCCGCTGAGGCGGTCTCGGGACATTGGGCCTCTCAGTGGATAGCTGCCATGGAGCAGGAGATGGCATCTTGGAGATCCACCGGCACCTACGTCGACGCAGTTCCCCCACCTGGGGTGAACGTAGTCGATGGCCGCTGGCTCTTCAAGGTGAAGCGCCCTCCTGGAGAGCCGCCTGTGTTCAAAGCGCGCTACGTGGCTAGAGGCTTCAGTCAGCGTGAGGGGGTGGACTTCTTCTAGACCTTCGCTCCAACCCCGAAGATGACTACTCTTCGGGTACTACTGCAAGTAGCAGCTCATCGTGACTACGAGCTTCACTCCCTCGACTTCTCCACTGCGTTCCTTCAGGGCACTCTACACGAGCAGGTCTACCTGCGCCGCCCTCAGGGTTTCACTGGTACCTTTGCTCCTGGGACTCAGTGGCACTTGCGGCGCTTCATCTACGGACTACGACAGGCTCCCCGTGAGTGGCACGACACGCTGCGTGCTACCCTTGCTGACGTGCAGTTCTTTCCGTCCTCCGCAGACCCCTCGCTCTTCGTTCGTGCTGGCCAGACTCCGTTCTACATCCTTGTTTACGTAGACGATCTGGTCTTCGCCACTGCCGAGAGGGACGCACTGGCCTCGGTGAAGGCAGAGCTGCTGAAGAGACACACCTGCACTGAACTAGGAGAGCTGCGCCGTTACCTTGGCTTGCAGATCTCCAGGGACAGAGCAGCGCGCACCATCACCCTCACTCAGTCACACATTGTGCGTCAAGTCCTTCAGAGGTTTGGCCTTCAGTTCTCCTCCGCACAGCCCACCCCTTTGCCTGTAGACCATAGGCTCTCAGCTCCTGTTCCTGAGGAATCAGTAGAGCCCAGTGGTCCTTACGCAGAGCTGGTGGGTTGCCTCATGTACCTGATGACTTGCACTCGTCCTGATCTCGCATACCCTCTCAGCATCCTGGCTCGCTTTGTGGCCACAGGCAGACGCCGACCTCAGCACTGGTCTGCTTCTAAGAGGGTTTTGCGCTATCGTGCAAGTACATCACGTATGGGGTTAGTGCTAGGAGGGCGCATGCCAATGGTCCTTGCTGGGCACACAGACGCTTAGTGGGCAGACGACGCCAAGACCCTTAGGTCCTCGCACGGCTACTGCTTTAGCCTTGGTTCAGGTGCTGTCTCTTGGACAGCTTCTCGCTCCTCGTTTGTTGCCCAGTCCAGCTGTGAGGCTGAGATCTACGCCGGTCCCATGGCGGCACAGGAGCTCCGCTGGCTGACCTTCTTGCTCACCGACTTAGGGGAGCGGCCTAGCTCTGCCCCATTCCTGTACGCTGACAACAGGGCCATGATCCTCCTGTGTCAGGAGCCTCGACTTGAGGGCAGAGCGAAGCACATCCAGCTGCGGTACTTCCTCCTACGCGAGCTACAGCAGCGTCGCCAGGCCCGCGTAGTACACTTGGCCTCCGGTGCCAACACAGCTGATATCTTTACGAAGGGGCTTGTGCCTAAAGATCATCAGCGGCACTGTGTACAGCTAGGTCTTGTTCCTATTGCCTCTCACCTGCTAGTGCCTTGATTTTGTATAGGCCTTTATATATATGTGTTACCCTGACTGGCCTTGTTGCTCCTTCCAATGGTTGGACTAGTAGTGCCTCCCTGGTCTTGTTCTTGTTGTGTCTGTACACATTTGACCGGTCTTTAGACCCTTGCCTCAGAGGCTGGACTAGTAGTGTCGCCTTGAGCTTCTTGTTGTCGAGTTAGGCACTGCCCCTATATCGACTAGGGGGTGTGTCAAACATATCTATGTATGTTAGTATAGACAATATTGGTTTGTGCTGTAGAGGGTACAACACTCTAGGCTATAGATCTCTGTACTCTCTCTTTCTAATCATTATTCAGTTCTAAGAGTATGTTCTTAGAGAGTACAACCCAACCCAATCCTACATCTCGCTTGTTCTCTCTTCTTTCTATTCATTTTAGTATTCTAACACCTTTATCCGGAAGATTACGGTACAATATACTCTATTTATCGCTACGAGCAGCATAGAAAAATGGCTATTTACAATGCCAATAGCAAAGCTTCCACAATTAACTCGTAGTTATTGCTTGCCACTTGAGTTCCCACTACTGGCCCGCATTCCCTGGGCGCGAGCAAGCTCCGTATTGAAATCAATCTGCGCAGACGAAGACTCCAGCTGGCGATCAATCTTCTCAGCCATCCGGTTGCATTCCGCACCTAGAAATTCGTCCTTCATGTCCAACAAATCAGTCAAGATTCGACTCATAGAGGGTCGAGCAGCGGTGGGCATTGCAGTGCAGCTGAGGGCCAGCTTGGCCATGCGCAGCACCAAGTCGTCCGGTGCCTGCAGATGAGGGTCCTTGAAAGCTGCCACTTCACCGGCCACCACCAGAGGAGCCACCTGAAGCCAGGAGGAAAAGAATATGGTAGTGGAATAAAACTGGCTCCAATGAGGTAAAAATGCTCAACCAAGTTGGGCTGTGGAATAATGACTTCATCTAATGACAAAGGAAAGATACGTTCAGTATGGTTCCAATGAGGTAAAAAGGCTCACACAAGTTTTAAGGTTGTGTTGATCAGAGTCCACCATATAGACGGCCTTGCGGGCTGTGATGACTGTCAGCATCACGACTCCAAAGCTGCAATTCAACAATGGCACGAAATATGACGTGCAAGGATAGGAACGATGTGTAAGGACAAGTACAGGACAAGGATACGAGTAGCTTGCACGGACATGAGTGGGAACGTATCTAATGAAACATGGCTGTATTCACCCGATACAAAGTGTAACACGACTCTGCATATTGTTGGTACTTTGTGGTGTATACTCTTGGATATCAAGCCAGGCTAAATCACAAAATTAACAAGCAATATGCACTCATGAACACATCACTCACTCATTAACATCACTCCTGTACACATCACCCATACCTGCGCAAATCACTCACACCTGCGCAAATCACCCATACCTGTGGGGTTCAGCCATACCAGTGCACATCAGCCATACCAGTGCACATCAGCCATACCAGTGCACATCAGCCATACCAGTGCACATCAGCCATACCAGTGCACATCAGCCATACCAGTGCACATCAGCCATACTAGTGCACATCAGCCATACCAGTGCACATCAGCCATACCTACGCACATCAGCCATACCTATGCACATCACTCATACCTATGCGCATCACCCATACCTGTGCATATCACCCTTATCTGGGGACATCAGCCATACCTGTGCACATCAGCCATGGGCGTTGCCTTTTGTGACTTGTAGTAAGCGGGGTCCACATAGCCGGGTGTGCCCATCACTCGAGTGGCAATCACTGATGTGCCCTCGCCCAGCCTCACCAGCCCAAAGTCTGCAATCCTTGCCTGCGGTTTATCAAATACATGTGCAAGCATTAGACAGTTGGCATCTCAAAATACAGCAGCATCATGACCCATCACCAACACATGGCATGGTGTCAATTCTGCTTGATTTAAGAGAGATTCACCTCCACCAAGTTAGTGCAAGAACTCAGGCACATGCAATTCGGCCTGCTTTGATTCATAATATTAAAATGTTGAGTGGGCAATGCTTTCCACTCCGTGCGTACCTGCATCCGGTCGTCAAGAAGCACGTTGGCTGGCTTGATGTCGCGATGCACGATGCCAAAGCCATGCAGGTACTGCAGCCCCTGAGCGATGCCGATCATCACTTCTAGGCGCTGCCTTATGGTGAGCTGCTTGGGAGCGTCTGGCACAAGTCAAAGTGAAAACAGGAGCAGTTGGAATGTTCAGGTGACAAAACCTTGGTGATGTGGTAGAAAGTAACTTATGGAAGCACCGTGGGTGAAGTGTGCTTGATAAGCACTCGTGTATGGGCAACAAGGTAGAGTAACTTACCCGGTCCAATCCACCTCTCAAGGTCGCCATTGGCCATGAACTCATAGATGACAATCTGCTCGATGCGGTCCGTTGTGTGGTTCACATCAAAGCAGTAGCCCAGCAGCCGCACCAGGTTGGGGTGGTTCTTTGTTGCCATTTCATTCACCTGCCATCCAGTCAAACAAGTGGAATGAAAAATAAAGAGCTGTTTAATGTGGATATAGGGTAGGAAATACAAACACAAACATGACTTAACTCTTTAGTCTCACGCCTTTTCCACTGCAGCATCTCTCTCAGCACTGAGTTTGCTAATCGCATTCCCACCTCTCGCTTGAAGTCGTTAGTCAGGATTTTGGCTCGTTTGACAGCCCATATCTCAGAGGGGCATTCGGGGTTGGCTCCCTTGTACACATCCCCAAAGCTGCCGCTGCCAATGTGGTTCGCCTCTGCCCACTCGCCTGTGGCCGCAGCAACCTCCCCCAGCGAGTACTGCCGACACACCTGCGGCCGCGCCTCTCCTGCTGCTGCTACTAACTCTGGTTTCACCGCCGCCGCTGCTGCTGCTGCTGCTGCCACTGCGGCTGCTGCCGCTGCTTCTGCTGCCGCTGCTTCTGCTGCCCCTGCTCCTGGGTCTATGTCAAGATCATCAGGTGCTGCTCCTGCCTTTCCTCCTTCTACGTCGTCCTCATCCTTGCTTGCTTCGCTCTCCTTCGGTGCGTTTCTCTGCCTGATGCGGTAGACCCAGAGCGTCAGCACGAGCACGAGAATGAGTGCACACACGCAACCCACGACAATACCGGCTATGGCACCTGAAGACAGTTTGCTGCTACTGCTGCTGCTTGACACTGTTGAGTGGTGGCAGGAGTGGTGGCATGAGTGATTGAAGAGTGGAGGATAAGTAGGAATGGAAATGAAACGTGCATAAGAGTATTTGCTGTCAATTGTGTAAGAGCCATCAGCATTTTCGACCGGGATGACTGCGAAGCCGGTGGAGTTGAACAATGGTGCAATTCGTATCAAGATTAAAACCGTCAAAAGTAAAGCTGACACCAGGGATCCAGGTGATGGTGCCTATAGTGGAAGGAAATGGTGTAGGACCAGACGGAGTTGGAGAAGGGGGGGGAGGAGTGGGGGAAGGGGCGGGAGGAGAGGGGGAAGGGGCGGGAGGAGTGGGGGGAGGGGCGGGAGGAGTGGGGGAAGGGGCAGGAGAAGTGGGGGAAGGGGCAGGAGGAGTGGGAAAATGGGCGGGAGGAGTGAGGGAAGGGGCGGGAGCAGCGGGGGAAGGGGCGGGAGGAGTGGGCGAACGAGTGGGAAGAGTGGGGAACGGGGCGGGAGGAGTGGGGGAAGGGGTGGCAGGAGTGGGGGAAGGGGCGGGAGGAGTGGGAGATTGGGGGAGGCCAGAAATAAATTTCTGGGCGATGAGGGAGAAGGCAAACCAGTAGCAGAAAGAAAGGAACGCACAAGTGTGGCATAACAGGACACCAAAAATAGGAGCGTGAGAACAGCAGTAGCACAGCAGAAGCAACCTACCAGCAGGGCTGGGTGGCGGCGGTGCAGCTGTGCCAGTGGTGGTGGAAGGCGCAGCAGGGCCACCGGGTGCAGGAGAAGCAGAGCCGAAAGACACGGTGCCATCGGAGTTGAGAGTGAGCAGCAGGCCCGTGTTCACCACCCGCCCGTTGCTGCCAACCACAGTGCCGTTGGCCCACCCGGTCAGGTCCCCTGCAATGAACGAGCCGTCAGAGTTCGCAGTAGGAGTGATGCGTGTGCCTGTAGCAGCGTCCACAATGGTGCCATTGGTGTACATGGTGGTGCCGCCCACAGTGAACCCATCAGTCGTGCCGGATGCAGGGTTGGTGTAGATGGAGATGCCAGGGGCAGTGAGGGTGCCGGTGCTGGGGAGATATGAGTACTTGCCATCTTCAATCGTGAAAGAGCCAACAGCGTTTTGAGTGGGAGTGACTACTGCGCCAAGAGAGTCCACAACGGTGTTGTTCTGATAGAGGGTGTAGCCATCGAAAGTAAGGCTACCATCAGAGTTCCTTGTGACGGTGCCAGTGGTATCAGCAGGTGTGGGAGAAGGGGAGGAAGGAGGAGCGGGAGCAGGGACGGAACCAGGGGCGGGAGTGGGAGAAACAGCGGTGACAGTCCCATCTGAGTTGACCGTGAGAGCCAGGCCAGTGCTGACCACCACACCGCTGCTGCCAATAACAGTGCCATTCGGCCACCCAGCGAGATCGCCTGCAGTGAACGACCCATCCGCGTTCTGAGTAGCAGCAACTGGCTGCCCGGTTGCGGCGTCAACAATGGTGCCGTTGGGAAACATGGTGGTGGCCCCAACCGTCACGCTGCCAGGTCCAGCCGCAGCACCGCCATCACCAAACGTCTGCAGCACCACCCCCTGCCCTGCCAGAGTGCCATTCTTAGGGAAGTAGCTGTAGCCTGAGAGCTCGTACGACCCGTCCTGGTTCAGCGGAGGCTTGAAGGGCCCGCCGCTAGAGTCTACTATGGTTCTGTTGTTGTAGATTGTGGTGATGCCGTCTACGGTGACACTGCCATCAGGGTTGGTGGTGATGACGGAACCAGAGCCAGGGGCAGGGACGGAGCCAGGGGCAGGGACGGAGCCAGGGGCAGGGACGGAGCCAGGGGCAGGGACGGAGCCAGGGGCAGGGACGGAGCCAGGGGCAGGGACGGAGCCAGGGGCAGGGACGGAGCCAGGGGCAGGGACGGAACCAGGGGCAGGGACGGAGCCAGGGGCAGGGACGGAGCCAGGGGCAGGGACGGAGCCAGGGGCAGGGACGGAGCCGGGGGCAGGGCTGGAGCCAGGTGCGGAAGGAGAAGAGACAGCAATGGTGCCGTCTGGGTTGACAGCAAACTGCTTGCCGGTATTCACCACCGCGCCGTTGGTCCCCACAATCGTGCCATTCGCAAACCCAGTCAAGTCGCCAGCAGTGAACGACCCGTCTGCATTGGCTGTTGGCACGATCGGCGTTCCAGCAGCATCCAGCACCGTGCCATTGGCCAGCAGCGTCGTGCTGCCAACCGTGTAGCTGGGTGCGTCTCCGGTGGATATGGCGAGGCCGGGAGCAGCGAGCGTGCCGTTGGGGTAGACGGTGTAATCACCGCCGACGGTGAACGATCCGTCAGGGTTGGCAGTGGGAGTGACGGAAGCGCCAGTAGAGTCAAGCACAGTGCCATCCGCCATGAGGGTGTAGCCCGGGCCGAACGCCACGCTGCCATCGGGGTTGACGCTCACGCTGCTGCCGCTGGGGCCGGAGGGGATGGGAGAAGGGACGGAGCCGGGGGCGGGGATGGAGCCAGGGGCGGGGAGGGAGCCGGGGGCGGTTGGGGAGGCAACGAGGGTGCCATCGGGGTTGACATTGAATGTGCGCCCGGTGTTCACCACCTCGCCGCCTTTGCCCACAACCGTACCGTTGGGGTAAACCACGAGGTCTCCCGCTGTCACCGAACCATCCGCATTGGCCGTCGGCTTAATCGGCTTCCCCGACGCGTCCACGACCGTTCCATTAGCCAAGAGCGTCGTTTTCCGGACGGTAAACCCGGTGCCGCCGCTGGAAATCGCGACGCCGGGAGCACTGATCGTGCCGTTGGGGTAAGCGGTGTAGTTGCCACCGACGGTACTAAACGATCCGTCCGGATTGGCGGTGGGAGCGACGGGCGCGCCAGTGGAATCCAAGACGGTGCCGTTCAGCAGCAGAGTGTATCCCGGTCCAAACGACACACTCCCGTCGGGGTTGACACTACCGCCGGTGCCATCACCTCCGCTGCTGCCGGTGCCTCCGCGGGCCGTGGCCGCGTCCCTGGCGATCCCACCCTCGGCATACAGCCTCGTGCCCGCCAGTTGCACGAAGCTTTTCGTGCCGTCAATGACTATAGGCACTCCGGACGCGGCGATGGTGCCATTCAAAAACCACGTGTACATCACAAAAAAGAGCGGTCCACACACGGCCCGCAAAAGTGCCATCGGCGATTCTTGGGGGGATCTAGATAACGTACACACCGTGGGTCCACCAGCGCTCCACGGAGGGTCCTCAGGGGATGCAGTGGGGACTGCACAGGTACCATCTCGGAACCGCCATAGAGCACACTTGCAGGGGCCGTTCGCTGGCAATTTGCTGAGGGGGACAGGAAGGGGAATGGGCGACCAAATCCCGCGCGCGTGGAATTTGCGCAGCCAAACCTACGTAGTTTTTTTTGTGTGTGCCCCAGTACTTAGGTGATCATAACGTCGCCGGCTTGATTACGTCGGTCACAACAGCAGGCCTGGATACAACAAACTCGCGGACAGTGAAGAGTGGGGCCCATCAAAAGCCCTATTAGCCCATCGCACTTTCGTCTAAAATCTTGCGGAGAAAATGTGATTCACACAATTTTGTCAAAGCTGCCCACTTTTTTTACATTTCAAAATCTCAGATTGGTTGGGTAGGAGCGGCTCGTAGTCCGCACGACAGCGCAGATGGATGGGTACAATGTGGCGCAATTGCGCAGATTGACGGGTAGGGTTGGAGGGGAAGTGGCTGTGTTGTTCGCTGGTTGTGAGAGGTGCTGTGAGGGGCAAGTTTGAGCTGCGGTTTTTTTTTGGGTTTCGTAAACCTGCCCAGCCAAGAGGCATGCCAATCTTGGCCTGCCTCATACCACGATTTTGCAGTATGAGGTGTGGCACAGAGTGACGTTGATGTTTGCTTGGCAGCTCTGGGTGGCTGATGGCCGCGTTTCGGGTCTGGCATGAGAAGGGACACGCGATTTGGGGGCCCTTGGTTTGGGGAAACGTAACCGATGCGACGATTTCGCATGCTGACGTCACTTTTCGCAAATTGGGTTCGGCAAACCCACGAAGCCTCGATCGATGTTCCACATGCCTGATTTCCCTAGTCGTGCCGATGAAAATTGGCCAGCAAACGGCCCCACAATGTTATGAATGGAACTGCCGAGTAGCGCGGAGGGCAATGGCGAAACTGTGAACGAGTGTCAATAAAATGAAAGACAACACAATATATAGGAAACCTAGGGCGATCCTGGACGTATGATTGGAAGGTTCGGGAAAAGTGTCGAAGGGCCTCGATGTGTCGAAGAGAGGCCCGGAAAGACCTAGTAGACTCGAACTGAAAGGTCTGGAACCCTATCGCTGGTTCGGGACTGTTCGAGTCGTATGCCGTGTAGCAAGCCTCAGTAAGGAATTACTATTTCCTTACACTCTCCCCCCTTCTAGATAAGCACACAAATAAACAAAGCTAGGCAAACCTAACTGAATCTCGTCGTACAGAGGACACAACTGTTTCTTCAAAGAAATTCCATCCAACGGTCGAAACACGTCGAAACGATCGCAATCGATCGTAGATGTCGAATCTTGGTCAAATTACCCAGATAACCAAATGGGCAGTAGGGATGCTACCGCACCACAGCTTCCTTGTCTTCAGCGAGTCATTTGCCGAGAATTACAAACTCCGTCGTCGTGTACTATATCTGTAAGAAATTAGTCATTCCTTACTCAGGCTTGCTACATGGCGTACGACTCGAACAATCCCGAACAAGAGATAGGGTTCCAGCTAGGGCCCAAATTAGCTGGGTGAAATGCCTTGATTGCCCTGATTTTTCAGGGCATTTTTTCATTTGGTCTTAAAAATCAGACTTACGAAATTTATTACCCTAATTCAAAGAGTGTTACGAAAATATTACCCTGACGAAAACAGGGTTGCGGGGCCTCGCACCATAACCCTTCAGGGTGTCCTGATAACTACCCTGGTATCGAAACTCTGAGATTCCGACTAAGTCCTTGGAGGCCAGAAACATTTCCCCCACAACACCCTGTAACCCAAAAATTTCGACTAAGTCCCTAGCGGCCAGAGTCATTCCTCCCACGCACCATGCAAACCAGCAATTTCGGCTAAGTCGTAGCCAGAGACATAACTCCCTCACTCACCCCCTCGCAATCCAGATATGGCTAAGTGGCCGAAAAAGCGCGGTAGTCAAGACACATTCGCAGACCGCCATCTTTCTTCGGGGTGAACAGGATCGGAGCTGCAAACGAGGATGTGCTGAGGCGAACGAAACCTTCCTCAAGCAGGTAGTCCAGCTGGCTTCTAAGTTCATCCAGCTCGAGCTGAATCAACTGCCATTGAGTCCGAACAGTAGGTTGCGCGCTGCACTCTAGCTCGATTTTGTGGTCGTGGTCTCGCTCAGGTGGCAAACCTGCCAGTAGGTCGTCTAGAAAAATGTCGCGTGTTTCCGAATCACTATCACAGCCATTGAGGCGATCCATCGGACGGCGTACAGTTGCGCCCCTCGAATCATAGCTCGCTTGATCGTCACTAGGCTGACTATTTTGACAGCTCCACTTTGGTAGTCATCGCCACTCGCCACTCCAGTTGATGCGACAATCGCCCGTCTGCCAGTCGATGCTCGAGTTGCATTCGCGTAGCCAATCGCGTCCCAGCAGCATGTCGCAGCCGTCCAAAGTTGTCGCCAGCATCTTCGTCGTGAAACTAAAAATTTCGCCGCATGTCACCCGCACGTAAGGTACCCACTCCCGAATGGCAAGTGCTGTGTCGTCGACCAGTCTCGCGTCGATTTCGGGCATGCAGCGCTCCAGCTGCAATCGCAATTTTTTTGACTTCGTCACGTCCATCAAACAGTGGCTCTCCCCACCATCAACGAATATTTTGATGCGGGTATCGCCAACTCTTCCTTCAAGCAGCACAGGGCGATTAACCGGTTCACCTCCCTTATTCAGCCAGGATTGGTCGATAGCCCAAATCGGCACTAAAACCTGGTGGGGGTGGTGGCGTTTGGGCGACGCAGTCAAGTCAGTAGGTGGCCCATCTGCTACTGACGATCTCCATTTCCCAACTGCTTCTTATCGTTACCTAAGTTCTTCTTCAGCTGCGGGCAGTCCCTCACCATGTGACCCGGCTGGTTGCAGTGGAAGCAGGTTCCTGAAAATACTCGGGCAGCAAACACGTCCACGCCGTTGACTGATGTGTGTTGGGGCTAGCCTCGAAAGTGATTTCCCTCCCGAAAACCCGCTCTCGTGAGTCCACGTCTTACGTCCAGCGCGTCTGCTATCCGAACGATTCCGTTGAATGTCACCGGGGCTCGTAGGACGATCTCTTGCTGAATCTCTGGCATGAGACCACCCACGTAACGACCGATGCGCTCGTCTTCGCTAAGCCCTCCGATTTGGTCGCAGATTGCCAGAAATGACGCCGTGTATTCTTGGACAGAGCCCAACTGTCTCCGCATCCGAAGCTTTGTGCGAGCATTTTCGCGCATAGATATGTGCTCGAATCTGCCCTTCAACACTTCGTCCCACGCATTCCACGTGCGGATCGTGGCCGACCCAAAGATTGGTTCTGCCTTCGCCGTTGATGAACTCAACTCCCCATCTACCGCTCGTTGACTCCCTGCCAGGGCTCCTCCCTCGTCAAGATGCATGTGCCACCATTCGAGTGCCGGTCCCTTCAGCAGCGACACAACCAAGTTGACACGTGATGCGTTGTCATTAATACTTGCTGACGTGAAGAAGATTTCCATGGCGAACAGCCAACCGCTCATTGTTGTTGTCCTGTCGGTCGGGTTGAACGGAAGAGGCATCGGTGGTTTGATTTTAATGGCCACCCGCGGCTCGCTGTAGACTTCTTCAACCGCTTCAGGTGTCGCCGACGTCCTCGCTTTGCTCGCAGCATCTTTGTTTCAGGTAACAGGCCGCCCCTGACGCGTTTCACCCCGCGTCTGGCGAAGCGGCGAGTTTTCGTTGCGCAGCGTCTGCACTTTGCTTCCCAGCGACTCGAACTTATCGGTGAGTTGTTGAAGCTGGGCCTACAGTGTCGTCACTGTTAGCCGCTTGCTTGCAACTCGTCAAACTCCTCTTGAGTCACGTTCCTAACACTACAACGGGCAGAGGTTTCCGGCGTGATAGACATGCTGAAAATTTTACCTGACATATCTGAGGGTGCACATGCTTTTAGTTGGAGGAGCTTTAACGAGCTCGCCTACCAACCGCTGGCCAACTTTCTATTCTGTCGGGTCCTCCCCCAATATAGACGGACTACTCTACGGAAGACTAAGCCGGCAGGAACGGGGCTCTGATACAAGCTGTTATGAATTGATAAGAGCAATAACAGCTAGTCTAGTAAAGGAGTCGTGATTCAAGAGTGTCAATACAAATGAGGGCCTAGGCATTTATAGGCACGAACAGAGCTAGCCGAGAACCACGCGAAAAGGTTGGGGCGGTCCGGTTGGCGAAAGCCGCGGAAGCGCTCGAGGTTTGGGTTCGCGAAGAAGAAACTTGAAGCAGGGTATTTTCGGCATCGAAGACATAGGAATTTCTTTTCATCGAGGGGGGAGAGAGCAGCTGCGCAGCAGTTGTTTTATGGATTTTCTCTCGACAATTGGCATCCACTGCATGAGCATCGACGGACTGATGCTTTTTGACCGAGTGAATCAACTGACAGATTCGAGTTGGTCTTCCGGGAATTTCTCAGGTGTTTGCGAAAGTTGGAGGCGTGTTTACATCAATCGCCTGAGGCCAGATCGACTACGGTTACTGGACTGGTTGTGCTTTCGTCCATTTCCTGATGGACTTCGCTGACTTTCGTGAGACACGGACGCGCGCATGTGTCGCAAATGACCTTGCATTTGACGAAGAGGTGGAGTTAGTTGATTTTGCGAAATACGGACGCGTGTTTCTGCGAGTGTCACGACTCTCGAGGAATTAAACGGGGAGCGGTCTACAGGTACGGAACTACGGACAAGTTTGGCGCATGCAGCAGATTCGGTTCGCCATCTTGCAGCAGCGTGAATAACGGTGTTACTGCTCGGATACAGTACCCGACGACGGGGTTTGTAATTCTCGGCGAAGGTCGAGCTGGAGACAAGGAAGTTGTGGTGCGGTAGTTTCCCTACTGCCCATTTGGTTATCTGGGTAATTAGACCAAGATTCGACGGCTACGATCGATTGCAATCGTTTCGACTGTTCGATGGAGTTTCTTTGAAGAAGCTCAAGATTCTCAACAGTAGTGTCCTCACTACAACGAGATTAAGTTAGAGTGTGTGTAGATTTGTTTATTTGTGTGCTTATCTGTAAGGGGGGAGAGTGTAAGGAATGCGTAATTCCTTACTGAGGCTTGCTACAGGGCGTACGACTTGAACAGTCACGAACCAACAATAGGGTTCCAGACCTTTCAGTTCGAGCCTCCTGGGCCTTTCCGGGCCTCGTTACGACACATCGAGGCCCTTCGACACTTTTCTCGAACCTTCCGATCCTACGTCCAGGATCACCCTAGGATTCCTATATATTGTGTTGTATTCCATCGCGCGGCTACGGCAGATATCCAAGAAAAACTCAGGTACAGTTCTGAACTATGAAAAACGCATTTTTTTTAGTTCACCGACTAACCATGCCGGTATTTAAACCATCGCACGGCTCGGTAGGTACCCATGACCCCAGCTACTGCTCCAGCCAAAAACTTGAAGGATTCTCACCCGGAAAATTCCCAACGTTTTAGCGACGTGTCGACATTCACCCATCGTTGTGCCCGTCCAGGTAAATCCCCGAATGAGTCCTCGCAGCCGAACCTTTGATTATAGCCCCACAACTCAGGAATAATCCTTGAAGACTCCTGCATGACTCCAAAATTTCCGTGACAGCAATACTCTTCTCCTACTGCAATAGTAACCCTTGTCTTCCTGAAGCTCCATTTGATGAATACACTCCAGAGCAGGGGTGGATCTGCCGTGTGCCCGTACTCAGGCAAGTGCAAATGCTATTGTAGTTGGGCGAATTAATCAGTCTAATTCGCAGGCAACCGCTTTGCAGCTTACGTGAGGGATTCTCTTTCCCCTCTCTGAAAAAATCGTCTCTGCAAAACTCTGCTCCAAACTGCTGCAAATTTCTTCAACTGCCGCTTCCATACTAAAACCCCCGTAGGCTGCTGTTCACCCAGTGCCCACGTTTGTCGTTCTCCCTACAATACCGCGCACGTTCATTCGAAAAGCCCGCAACTCCGTCGATCTTCAGCGACACATCCTCGTCGTTTGTTTTGGACTCGAGCTCCGCATATTGTCCGATCGCTGTCGCAAAAAACCTTCGCTATTTTCATTAACCTGCTTTACGCGCCTCCCACTATACAGCATCCGATTTTCACGAATTGTCCGCCTGTCGTGTGGCGCCGAAACCATTTCTTCCTTGATTCAACAGCTAAGGGTGATCCGCTGCCTCACCACCAGAACCGTCGGAGTAACCGTAAACCCGAACTAGTACCTGGTGGTGGTGCTGAAAATCGGGCGACCCAGCCAAGTCAGTCGGGGAATCCGTTTGCTGCTGACTCCTTCAAATTTTTCCGGTTGTTCCTAGCTGTTTTCCATCTCTGCTTCAGCTCTTCGTTGTTGACTTTTAGCGGTGACCCGTTGATGACACTTAAACTCGACCCGAGGGTAGTTGCTGGTCGTCCTCCATAGATCGTGGAGTGTGATTTTTTACCAGAAAAATGGCTTCCTCTACAGGAATCCAGACTCGCCGAGCCCGAAATTCCAGGGCAGACGAATTACACCTCTAGGCGGGCAGGTCACGCGAATCAATTTCGAGGTCAGTACTCCTCGGAACTCCTCCGTGCCTGAGCCCCACGTGTGTTGTCGTGCGATCCTTGGTCGTTCCGAAAACTCCAACGCCACGTTGCTGAACAGTATCCGAAGTCCCATCTTCGCCTGCGTGTCGCCTGCCGAAAATGCTGAGCCCTTTGACGTCAGCTACACTTCACCATGCAGCCACGTTTGCTACACGCGCTCCTGATGAAATCCCCTTTGCCTGGGGATATCCGCGAGCTTGTCGTCTCGTGACGAGCTCCTCGCTCCATTCGGACACCAATCTGAATCGTCGTTGCTACTTGCCGAAAATTCCGAAAACTGCAACCGAATCTCCTTTAACAACATGCAAAATGAACAGCATACCGGAAACATTCTTCAAAACCTTTGCCATTACAGGACGGACACAACCGCCCTTGAGGGGATGGCCTAGCAAATCCTGCTCGTCCCTTGGAGTCGGATCGACTGTCTTCAGAAGCCCACGCAAACGCAGTGGTTGAAGCATATCATATCATGCTTCAAGACAACCGACGTGCCTTCTGTAGCACCATCCGCCTTCTCCCCCTCCAAAAAAAAAAAATTCTGCCCTCGGAAGCCCAGCGGGTGAGGAAAGTGGCTCTGAATACCAAGTGCTATGAATGGAACTGCCAAGTAGCGCGGAGGACAATGGCAAAACTATGAACGAGTGAAT